TGTTGTGGAAGCGGGTGGATATGAAGAACTTGGCTTTATAGAGAAGGATTGTCGAAATTACATTGAAGAGTTTAGACGATTAAGACTTGGCCTCGGAGATGCAGAGGCAATACAAGGATATTTTAACAAGATGCAAGCAAAGAATGACGGGTTTTTCTTTAGCATGGATGTGGACGAAGAATCAAGGCTTAGAAATGTGTTTTGGGTGGACAATAGGTGTCGTCAGTGTTACAAATCCTTTGGTGATGTTGTGACATTTGACACTACATACTTGACTAACAAGTATGAATTGCGGTTTGCTCCTTTCGTAGGTGTAAACCATCATGGGCAATCAGTACTTCTTGGTTGCGGCTTAATTGCACAAGAAGATGCAGAGTCATTTGTTTGTCTTTTCAAGACACGGCTTCAGTGTATGGATGGGGTTCCACCCCAAGGCATAATTACAGATCAAGATCAAGCCATGGCTAAAGCAATCAGTATTATGTTTCCAGGCATTAAACATCGTTGGTCTCTTTGGCATATTCTTAACAAATTGCCTGAAAAGTTAGGAGGCAGGTCTGATAAAGTTGAAATCATGGATAAGATAAACGACCTTGTGTATGATGTTCATCTTATCACAGAATTTGAGCAAGGCTGGAGAGAAATGATTATGGATGAGGATCTAAATGACAATGAGTGGTTGGCTGAGATGTTTTTTTGGAGAGAGAGATGGGTTCCATGTTATCTACGAACTTCTTTTTGGGCTGGTACTTATTTTATGTGTTGTGTTTTTTTTAACTTGACAATTACTGTCTGTGAGAGTGTTATTCACAGACAGTAATTGTCTATGACATTTAAATAACTATTTCAGAATTTGTGTGTTAAACTGTACTTTCTTCCACAGGTATGTCCTCAACGCAGCGTAGTGAAAGCATGAATGCTTTCTTTGATGGCTACGTGCATTCAAAGACAACACTCAAGCAATTTGTTGATCAATACGACCGTGCGCTAAGGAAAAAAATGGAAATGGAGTTTCAAGCAGATGCTAGCTCCTTTACAAAAATGATCCCATGTGTCACTATGTATGAAATGGAGAAACAACTTCAAGACGTATATACTATTTCCAAATTTAAAGAGTTTCAGACTGAAATTCTTGGGAAAGTATACTGCGATATTATAAGCAACATTGGGGATACTTTTGTAGTGGAGGAGTACGTGTGCATCAAAGGGTTTCGCACGAGGAAGTCTTATGAAGTTGCATTTGATCCATGTACACAAGAAGTGGATTGCACTTGCCATCTTTTTGAGTTTAAAGGGATGATTTGTAGACATTGCATCGTTGTCTTCATTCGAAACGTTGTTAGGTTTTTGCCTAAGAAGTATATCCTAGAGCGATGGAGGCGTGATGTGAAGCGGGCATACACACGGGTCAAAGTAGATTATGATGGCTCGATATGTACTGTCGAACAACAACGGTATGATGACTTGTGCAACAGCTTTCGGGCTTTAGCGAATAAAGTCGTAGACGATAAATACCGCACAAAGGAGATAATGGATTGGATTCAAAAGGAGATGTCTGTAGAAGCAATGAGAAGCCAAAATCCATCCAAAGGAGTTCAAGAAATTCCCAAACATACAACAAGCACTACACTTGTGTTAGACCCATTAATCGGCACACGCAAAGGAGCTCCAAGAAAGAGTCATCTCAAGTCCAACAGGGAAAAGTGTGGTCAAAAGAAAACAAGAAAAAGGACTACAGAGAAAAACCCAAAACCGAAAGAAGGTAGAAAAAATGATAGCCTACCTAAGAAGAGGAAGAAAATGGATGAGCCTGAGACCTTGGGATCACAAAGGCAGCATGCTTGGCCCGTGCAAGACGAAGATGGTGTTTACGACCTCACCTTGGGGGGTCTGGATCTTGGCCTTTCACTACATTGACTTTTAACAGCTTTTTTTTGCATCAGATCTAGGTACCGAAGCTCTGATTTTTTGGAAGAGCTTCTTGAGAATTAAGGGTAGTAGTCATGTTGTCTTGGGGTTCCTGCACCATACACACACAGACACATGTCAAGAAAAAGATGTACATCATTTCTAGGAGTAATCCATGTAATGCACAAAGTGTAAATTACATGTTCAGCAGTCCCCTCCTTTTCGGCACGATCCTCGTCGCTGTCGTTGTGAGACTTCTCAACAGCAGTGTGCTCATCCTCAATTTGCTCTGTATCCTCATTTTCCCCAATCGCATTCTCCTCTTCATTTTCCCCTGTCTCCTCAGTGTCGTCCTCACTTTCCATACTCTTCTCCTTATTTTCCCGAGTCTCATCTTCATCTTCATCAGCTCCAGTCTCCTCCTCATATTCCTCAGCAGCCTCCTCGATTTCATCATCTTCTTCTAAATCCTCATCATCTTCCTCAGCAGCCTTTGTCCTTGCTCTCTTCTTTCTCTGAATTCTAACAGATCTTCTCCTTCGGCCACTTGAATTCAGGTTCATAACAACCTCCACCAACAACTTCTTGATTTCATCAATCTTCACTTCAAGTCCAACCATCCTTTTCTTCAAATCTCTAATGGCTCGAACGGTGTCGGCATCAGAATCCTGTGTATTAACAAGAGCATAAAGCATATATATTCCCAGACAGTGACTGTAGGTATAATGTAAATTCACAGAGGTTAAAAGTCAGCGAATATATTACCTTCTTTTGTTGCAATTCACGAAAGAAAGTTTCCTTAAGTGTCACTGCTTTTGGAAACTTCTTTGATGCCCAATTCAAAATTTCACAAGAAGAAGTCCCCTCTTGCACGGCAAGGTTTTTTTCAACCAACTCCGAAAAACACTCATACGCCCACACCTTAAACAAAAGTAAATATAAAAATAATGAATATTCCAAGTAAGTGTTAGAATACATATTATGTTCATATACTAACCTAAATAGGAAATGGAAAACCATAGAAGGTGTACTTTAAGGATTTGTAGTTTGGGGTTTCTTTGCTCTTTTTTTTCAAATTTTTCGGGCTGTCCATCCATTGCACCTTTCATATGTCGTATAGTAAGTAAGTACGACTCCCAAGCCCATGGATAAGATTTGAATTTTTTGGGATCTTCGACAAGATGCAAATGGGTTGATTCAATGCATGTAGATCTATCCTTTGCTAAAAGGACAGACTCAATGAAGTAGAGCATGGAAAAGTCAACCATTTTCTTCGAATCCATGGTATTCTCCGCTGCAACATACTTCTCTCGTACATGCTTGAAGGTGCACTTCGCGACCTCCCCTCCTAAGAATTTGTGACACAGTGAGCTCTGTCCAAGCTCTTTGTCCTTAAGAGGTGGGTACCTCTTTGTGTTCGGCAACCCTGTAATTCTGCACCAGTCGTTGAAAGTGAATTTGACAATTTCACCATTTCGGAGGATCCAGAATTCATCGTCAGGTTGATCCTCAACAAGCAACAAAAGCATTCGGTGAATGATCTGGCCAGAAAACTGGAGGTTCTTAAGCCCCATGAAGTGCCCAGTTGGAGTCCTGTGAAATTCTTCAAATTGACTAGGACTCAATTTCTTCTCAAAGTTGTTGATGGCTTCACGGATGTCAGAACAAACTGAGTAATGAGCTCCAAAATGAGCACTTACAGGGATTAACAAAGACATCGTCTGAAATGAAGTTCAATTAACACAATTTAAATATTCACACAGACAATAATCATATATGAAGTTCAATAAACAGAAGTTAATTGTCTATGGCATATTATTCAAAGAAAGCAAGCAAAAATAACAAGTAGACTTGTTTCACAAACAATAATGTTATATGAAGTTCAAATAACAAGACTTAAACCTCTGTATCATACAATTCACAAAGTAAGCAAAAAATTTACAACCAAACATATTTCACATACAATAAACTTATATAAGTTAATCAATGAAACTACATTATGGAGATTTGAGACTACACAAACATACTATTATCAAATCCACAATTACATTAACACACAGTTTAAAAACACCAAGAAAATTGAAATAATCGGCAAAGACCAAAGAAAGGGAAATTAGCTTGAGTACGTTTTGGGCTTAAGCAAGACTGCCAACAAGGGAGGTGGAGGGTGGGGCTGCCGGCGCTGGAGGTGGACGGGTGGGGCTGCCGCTGCTGGTGGTGGAGAGTTTGGCTGCCGACCCTATAGGTGGAGGGTTGGGGCTCCCAGCGCTGGAGGTGGGGGGTCGCTGGAGGTGGAGGGGGTCGCTGTAGGTGGAGGGTTGCGGATTTTGCTGGCGATTCGAAATTCTACAACAATCAGACGAACACAAGCCAAATTTGGGAAAGAAAAGAGGAAAATTTGGGAATTGGGAGCTTGGGGAGGTTAAAGCGGGAGAATGGAGAGAGATTAGATTTGGGAATGTCTTGCGGCGGGAGACGAAAAGCCTAAAAAAATGAAAAAAAAAATTGTTATATATTAGGTAGCATGCTTGGAGGCATACATGGTGCGTCTTTAGCATTCCCCATAATAATTTCTCAAATCGAGAGTGATGGGCATTGCCTAACACTCCAACAAGATAAAAAATCAATGTGTATTCCTCACTTTTTGTTTTGAACTTATTATATCTTCTTATCTCTTCAAATAGTCTTCTCATTTCAATATAAGAAGTAACTTTAATTTAAATTACTTGATTATAAATGTAAAACTAAAAACTAAAAAAAATACTCCCTCCGTCCCAGAAAATATGGGAGTTTTGATTTTGAAGAGGATTTAAGAGGAGCAAGAAATTTTTAAGAAGCAAATTCCCCACTCCAACTTTCGCATGTATAACATGCAATTACTTTTTTTTTTGTTTCAAAATTTTCGCATGTACTACATGCAAAAACATCAACATCAAACTTTCATCACTCAAATTTTTTCCCAATTTTTTTTAAAGGAAAATGATAGAGGTACACCAAAAGTGTACCCCAAACATCCCCACCCCCTCTATCATCACTAGGGATATAAACAAATCAATGATTTTAAATTCGATTCGCGATTTGTATTCGAATATGATGATTCGAATTCGCGTTATTCAAATACAAATTCAAATTCAAATATTATTTTTGATTCGAATATTAATCAAATACAAATACAAATAGGGATATATTCGATTCGGATGATATTCGAATATTCGAATATATGTATATATACACAGACCATGTTTTCAACATCAAAAGTCAAGCAAAATTAATACACAGACCATGTANGGGATATAAACAAATCAATGATTTTAAATTCGATTCGCGATTTGTATTCGAATATGATGATTCGAATTCGCGTTATTCAAATACAAATTCAAATTCAAATATTATTTTTGATTCGAATATTAATCAAATACAAATACAAATAGGGATATATTCGATTCGGATGATATTCGAATATTCGAATATATGTATATATACACAGACCATGTTTTCAACATCAAAAGTCAAGCAAAATTAATACACAGACCATGTATATATACACAGACTATCTTTGGTGTACCCCTAGCATATCCTTTTAAATGATTTCGCATGTAGTACATGCAAAATTAATGAAATGATTTTTTTTTTCATATTTCGAAATTTAAAAAAATTATCAAATTAAGAATTTTTTCGGTTTCTCTCATATTACGAAATTAAAAAAGAGAGAGTAAATTCCATAAAAGGTCCCCAATTATAGACCGTTTTACATATTTAGTCTCTATATATCAAATATTACTAACTTAGTCCCCAATTATTATACGGAGTATCATTTTTCACGAATGGTCCTTTGTTAACGTTTTTCTTAAAAACATGGATAAAATAATAAGCTCTATGGAATATTATATCTAATGTTTATTTTTCTCATTTTAAAACAAGAATTTTTCCAAATACTTGTATGGAGTATTTTTTTAACCCAATGTTATTTTAAAAATAAAGAATAACTACTCGATTCAATCCCACGAAATTTGGGTTAGGGAGAGTGGGTGTGTAGACCTTATCCTTACTAAAAGGTAGAGATGTTGTTAAATACTCCCTCCGTCCCAAAAAAATTTACACGTTTTGACTAAAGTTGAAATTAAGGGGGCATAATTTTGTGTTGACTTTCCAAAAATATCCTTGATGTGATGGATAAAAGTAGGATATGATGTGTAGATTATTAGAAAAAAGGTATGATGGATAGGTAGGGTTTGAAAAAGTAAGGAGTAAAAGTGGTTTTTTAATAGAAATGGGTAAGAGATTGTGGGACATAATTTTTTTGAAAGGTGTAAATCTTTTTGGGACAGAGGGAGTATATCTCTACTTTTCATCTATACTACATCACATTAAATACAAACAATGAAGGCTTTTGGTTAAACTAATTATAAATTAAGATTTTGGTTAATAAAATAAAATAACCTTAAACTATTGTTTGTGTAACCCTCAAGTGAGGTTAATTTGCATGTTTGTTACCTTCAACTGTCTAGATTCTGCAAATAACCTTAGACTCCATCTAGTACTATTTACTAGGTTAGGTAATTTACAACATCAATTTTGATAAATAAAATTGTTTGAAAGATTTTAATTTCTCCATTATTATTTTTCTACATTTACACCATGATATACATACATTTACACCATTATATATATATATATATATATATATATATATATATATATATATATATATATATATATATATGATACTTCCTCCGTTATAAAAAATATTTCCTTTTTAAATATTTCCTTTTAGTTCAAATATTTCTTTTTCTATTTCCAACAAAACACTTTCTTTTTATTAAAAAAACCACCTTTATCCTTATTTTTTTATATCCTATATGTCACATCATATTTTTTTTTCTCTAATAATTTATCCATCACATCAAATACAAAATTGAAAGTCAATTATAATTTGACACTTTTTTATTTTTATACTAAGTCAAACTAGGAACCTCTTTTCGAGAACGAAGGAAGTAAGTATTTTATATGGACCATGCTACACTTACACTAAAAAATATACCCCATTTGTACATCATAGTTTTGCACAAACATTTTGATGGTTTACACCGACATAAGTGTTGGTGCGTTAATAAAAATTTACACGGACACAAATGTTGGTGCGTTAACAAAAATTAGTTTTACACCAACACAAAATGTTGGTGCAAAACTGCGGGGTACAAATTGTGATATAAATCTTTGGGTACACATAGCATAATCCATTTTGTATTAATAGGAATGAGAAGGGGTGGATAATTGGACATGCCATTGGACATTTAAAAAAAATTAAAAAAAACACTTTTGCATGTAGTACATGCCATCTTCCAAGTGGGGAATTTAGGGTTCCACTTGAGGAATTAATGTATGTGTTTTTTCCAAGTGAGGGAAACCGCCCGATTTAAGACAAGTGTATTTTGGTATTGAATTTTCAAAATGTCCTTTGATGTGATGAGTAAAAGTATGATTTGATTGATAGATTATTAGTAAAAAGGTATGATGTGATAGGTAGGATATAAAAAAATAAGGGGTAAAAGTGACTTTTTAATAGGAATGAGAAATGTTTTTTGGGACGGATGAAAAAAGAAAGAGAAATGTATCCAGGGACGGAGGGAGTATACTTTAAAACTACATACTCTACAAACCAAGAATTGACATGACTATGCTATTTAACTAAATGACTAACAAAAATAGGTATATGAAATAACTAGAGTTTGACTATGTAAATAAAAATTAGAAAGAAAGTGTTAGGATGCAGTGAGTAACGTTTATAAAATAAATTGTTTGGTTATTGGTAAATTTAGTTACTTCATTTATCCGAAAAGAACATTCTTAGTTGACTTTTCACGATTTTTAAAGTGAATTGAAAAAGCGAGAAATTTTACCGAAAACACTTTAATGAAAGTGGGTGAATTAGAGGTGTAATAAGAGCACCGAAAATATTTGTGATGCTTTAGGGTTTCAGCTTTAACTTAACTCATAGCTCTACTAGAAATGGATTTCAAGCCCAAGGGCTTTAAACTAGGACTTCAAATTAAACAACTATTTTTTACATTTTGAATATACATTTTGTGAAATTAAATTAATAAGATTTCATTAATTAATTGAATTTAAACGATAATAATTCATTAAATAAAAAATTTAAAAAAATTACATTAATAAAATAAAGATTTGTATAATAACAACATAAATAAAAAATTAAAATTGACATTACATTACGAAGAATTACTGATTACTTGTGTGACTAAAAATATGTTCAACCAAATCCGCTGTTAGTGCATTGTGAATCTCTTGGCTTTGAATTTCTTTGCGGTTTCTTCATCAATTTTTTCATACTTAGGCACCTCCTCTTTTGGGTTGTAATGACAAATTGCGAATTCGTTGTCCTCTATGATCATATTATGAAAAATAATACATGCACGCGATATTCCTCATTTTTGGCTTATTTGTATGTTTTGATTGATCATTTGATAAAATAAAATATTTTTGTCATATTTTATTTTATTCTTCCTCAGTCCTTAATGCTTCTTGTATTGACTTTAGTAAGTTTTAAATATGTAAATACTATTTTTATTTTCTATACTATTATTTAACAAATAATCAAAAAAACTAAATTTTTTGAACTTAAAGTATAGTAAGATATTTTGAGATGAAGTATTAGAAATATTTTTGAGATGAAGTAAGTATTAGAAATATTTTTGAGATGAAGTAAGTATTTCAACCTTTTATAGTTTTTCTCACTATTTCAAATTTTTTAAATATTTCCAATTCTCCTACTATATACTTCCTCCGTTCCTAAAAGCTTGAGAAATTTTGATTTTGAAAAAATTTAACAAGATGTATTTTGGTGTTGAGTTTTTCAAAAATGTCATTGATGTGATGGGTAAAAGTCGCATTTGATGGATAAATTAATACTCCGTAGTAAATAGGTGTAATGTAATATGTACGTTAAGAATAGTAGAAATAAAAGTAACTTTCTTAGAGGTTTGAGAAATATTTTTGAGACGAATAAAAAAAGAAAGGAAAAAAATTTCAAGAGGGAAAAAGTATAATATATCCAATGGCATTCCGAGATATAAAAAAATGGATCAGGGTAATTGGGTAAAGTTGTTGGAGATGAGGGTTAAAGTTTTTGGAAAATGCAACTATATTAGAGCATTGGAAATACGTTTGAAGCCCCGGGCTTCAAAACTGGGCTTCAAACTTTCTCTCTGCCACGTTAGCTTTAACTTACACCAAAAATTCACTGGAAATGGGTTTGAAGCCCTGGGGCTTCAAACTGGGATTCAAACCTTTATTTTTTACATTTTTAAATATACATCTTCTAAAATTAAATTAATAAAATGTAATTAATTTATTATTTAATTATATTGAAACACGAATAATAAAAAAATGCATTCATTAAATTTAAAGAAATTGAAACGACAATAATTTAAAATTTAAAAAATTACATTCGTTAAATAAAAAAAGAGGTGTCAACGGGATTCATGTTGAAAAGAGAGGGGGGGGAGTTTGAAATTGAAGAAGATTGAAGAAGAGTGAAGAAGGTGTGAGAGATTGGGAAGGGAGGTTTGAATTTATAACAAAAAAAATTATTATTATTATTATTATTATTATTATTATTTGCATTCAACAACTATTAGAGCCGTTAAAAGAGGGGATTGCGTCAAACAAGTGACGCCGAGCACATCACGCCCAAATCACGCCGATGGGGGGCGGTGTTTAACGCCCCGGCGTTAAAACGCCTCATCACGCCGTGGCCGGCGTGAGAGGTATTACCGGTGCTTTAAGGATGAGGGTAAAGTTGTTTGGCATTCATTAATATAATGCCCAATTTGCTTAAAAAATACATACTCCGTATATGAATAATGAATGGCTAAAATCATGTCAAGTTTTAACTTTTAAGGGATGGCATCATTCAATGTGGCAACTTTTAAGGGATGCCATCTCTTCATCTTTAATGTTTACCCATTGAACCATTCATTCCCAGCTTGTCATCTCCCGCGCGCCAAATAGCAAGAACAGAAGCAGAGAGTGCTTCGAGCGAGAGCAGATCTACGAAGTATATTTCTTCTTTCTCCACCTCACTGAGCCTTTGACTGTTTGTCGTCAGAAGGTAATTTTATTGCTTCTTTGATTTAGTTTTGAGATATTCATTTTTATACCCAATTATAATTTTAGATGCATCTATTGTCTGCCTGAGAACCGAATCAAAGTTTTTGTACATTTTGAGTGCTTGCAATTGGTAATTGAAATGGCGTTTAGTACCACCCATCGATAAGTTATACTCCCTCCGTCCCATAAAGTGTTACCCATTTTGACTAAAGTTGAAATTAATGGAGGGATAATTTTGTGTTGACTTTCCAAAAAATATACCCTGATGTGATGGGTAAAAGTAGGATGTGATGTGTAGATTATTAGGAAAAAGGTATGATGTGATAGGTAGGGTTTGAAAAAGTAAAGGGTAAAAGTGGTTTTTTAATAGAAATGGGTAAGGGATTGTGGGACACATTTTTTTTGAAACGCGTAAATCTTTTTGGGACGGAGGGAGTAAGATGCTATTTTGAATTACTATTTGTTACCCATGAGTTGTTGTTTGACGTTTTAGCTTTTAAAATCAGCCCTAAGAAGTTGATTTTTTGTATTCCTTCAAAATTGTTATTTTTTGTATAGTGAAATTGTGAAAGAGTGGCCTGTTGCATTTTTTGAGCATTGACTGCCTCAAATATTTTTTTTTCAATTGTGTAGTTGTTATTGTGCTTGATTGATTGATCCTATATAATGAGGAGTTCAATTTCTGCCTCAATTAATATCAATACTATTTCGTATCTTATACTCCCTTGGTCCCAAAAAGAATGGGACGGTTTGACTTTTTGGGAAATTAATGGAGGGATAATTTTGTGTTGACTTTCCAAAAAATACCCTGATGTGACGGGTAAAAATAGGATGTGATGGGTAGATTATTAGAAAAAAGGTATGATGTGATAGGTAGGATATGAAAAAGTAAGGGGTAAAAGTGATTTTTAATAGAAATGTAACGGACTTTACGAGACACAGTTTTTCCTAAACGTAACAAATTTTTTGGGACGGAGGGAGTAGTTGTTCTTTAGCTTTTAAAGTAGTTTATGACACCACTGCTTAAGTTGTCTAGGTCCGCCGCCCCTGATCATGAAGAAGATTATATTCATTCTCGCGGCGGCGGCGGCGTGGCCACTGACCGTCGTCAAGCCGGAGGAGGCCTCCTCCAAGAACAGGCCGGCGGGGGAGATCATCGACATATCCCATGAGTATGCTGAGGGACGACTGCCCCTCTTCGACAGCCCAACCGGCCTTGGTTCCTTCTACGTCCCCTTTTCGAGCATAAAGCACGGGGCCCTGGCTAATACCATCAATTTCACCCTCAACTCCCACTCCGGAACCCATGTAGACGCCCCTGGGTTTCTCAACCACACCCTCCTCCAAGAGGGCTACGACGTCGACTCCTTAGATCTCTACACCTTAACCGGTAATTAATAACCAATCCCTACCATACATTATTAACATGCATGCATTTCTTACAGAGTATCTGAAATGGTCACTCATTTTTTCTTAACCAATAAATAAAATGCTGGATTTCAGGCCCTTGTATGGTGGTGGAAACTCCTCGGGACCAAAACATCACCGGTAGTATTGTGTATGTTTTGTTTAGTTTTAACATTATTGTTAGTTGTCTAATTCATCAATTCATGTGTCGCTACGTACGTGTGCAGCCGAGGTGATGGAGGGGCTAAACATTGCCCAGGGAGTGGAGAGAGTCCTCTTCAAAACTCTCAACACCGACAGGAAGTTGATGTACCAACCGAGGTTCGACTCGAGCTACACCGCCTTCACCCCCGACGGTGCTCGGTACCTCGCCTCCCACACCGACATCAAACTTGTCGGTAAGCAAGCTAAGGAATAATTTATCAATTCATCATTAGTTGTTTTAATGTTAGGTTGTTAATTCCATTTATAAAAAAACAAAACATTGTTTTCATTTTTTTTTTTTTAATGTTTATTGTGTAGGCATCGACTACCTGTCGGTTGGAGTGAGGGAGGACTTAAGGGACGTGTACCTCACGTTTCTTAACACTAAGGTACGTACTTGCGCGATTAATTACGGAGGCGTTTTACTTAATTTGTGTTTGTGAATTACTGAGATTGACGGGTGGTTTTAATTTATACGAAATTTGCAGAGAATTATACTGGTCGAGGCCTTGAAGCTGGACGATGTCGAGCAGGGGGTATACTGGCTTAATTGTCTACCAATGAGGTTTCCGGGCTTCGACGGGTCGCCGGTCCGCTGCTTGTTGACCACCGTTGAGTCCTCCGGTTCTTCAATGTCTCCGTCCGGTGGTCCCTTGGCGTTTTTATTTTTGATTTTATTATGTATTTCTATTATTATTATTTTGTAGCTAGCCTAGTTAGTAGTACTTACTTGTAAATTGTGTTCCTTAATTAGTCATTAGTCAGAGATCAATTGTAGTACATGTATGAAACATTGATTATCATATTTTCTACGTACTATGATGCTGCGTACTGCACTTTCATTTTTAGACACCGTAAATGACGTATTCCAGAGTATGAGAAATGAGAACTTCATAAATAAAAATTTAATTAACAATACCTAATTAGCAGAACAATTAATAATGATGTTCTGTAGTCTGTCACTTAATCATTTCAGTTCATAAATGTTGGGAGTACTTAAAAGTTAAAACAAGTCACATTTTTTTTGTTACCAAATTAATACGGAGTATTATAGTGAAGTTTAAGTAGGAGAAATGTTAGGGATACACCAAACATTTGAAGCCACAAATTTTTAATTTTATTTTTTTCTTACATAACAATGGGTACGTGTGGTTTGACTGACCCGACCCGATATTTATCCGATTTTTAATAAATTTTTAAAAACCCTAAATTTCTACTATCCATGTCCCTTTGATACACATGTTTTGAATACTTTAAAACTTGTTGCATTTCTTTGTGTTTCATTTTTTATTATGGATAAATCTTGTTAGTCACAAGTCACAACAACGTTGTTTTCTTTGTACTCTGTATACTACTACAATGTTGTTTTCATTTTTTATGTCGTCTTTAAAATTTTATTGTAAGCTAAAAATTTTCATGAACACTTTTATTAGTATTCAAACCCGAGTTTGATCGTAACCAACCCAACCAAAATATAAATTGAATCCGAATCGAAAAAATAATGGCCTGTTTGGAAATAGCGTTAGCAATTAGCGTTAGCGTTTTGAAAAGGTTATCTACGAGCAGCGTTTAGCGTTAGCATTTTCAAAGTAATCTGCACTGTTAAAATTTTATCCAAAACGCTAATGCTAATCTCTAACGTTATTCCCAAACAGGCTGTAAATATCCGAAACTGACTCACCAAAATTAAACCCTAACCCGACCTAAGTTCGATCGGATTTTAATATATTCAAACCAGACCAAACCCGACCTCTTGGAATCCTTAGATACATCATTTGGGTTCAAATTAAATGCTTTGGTGGAATATGAAATCTTCGTCCATATTCCATAGTACTCCGTAGTCCATACCTCCGTACTATATTAATGGTATACATCATTTGGGTTCAAATTAAATGCTTTTGTGGAATATGAAATCTTCGTCCATACTCCATACCTTCGTACTATATTAATGGTCCGAAAATTAATTGTTCCTTCTTCGATTGAAAGTAGTGATGGGCACCAACGCACCATACCGTCTCTCCCCCATACACTTTTTAGTTAAATCTGTGTGAACTCCACAAAAGTGACAGAACCACACTTTACTACTCCGTAGTTTACTTGTTTTAAAGAGTTCTGCATGATGTTTTCAAACACCATTTAATGCCAAACCTTTATCAACTATTAGTGTAAAAAGTTAAAATTTCATCCTCATGGGGCCGGAGCATGGGGAGAGTGGGTGTTCTACATTTTTCATTTCACCAAACTCGAGTCTAGAATTTCACCCAAAAGTCAACAAAATTTGGTGTTATGAAATTGGCGAGTGTGCGGGCGTACGTTAGGGTCGGGACGGGCTATGCTAGGGGGTTTACTACAAGGGATTACGATGAATAAGAACAATTAATTTTACGGTCAGAGAATCCGTATATACGTCAATTGAATTGGTGTAACAATATTACACCAATAAAATAGTGTAAGATTACCCCTCCTCACATGTGATTATACTCATTCTAAAAAATGAGACTTATTGATTTTTAAGAGATTTAAGAAAATTGTATTTTGGCATTGAATTTTCAAAAAAGTCTTTTGATGTGATGAGTAAAAGTAAGATTTTATTGGTAGATTATTAGTAAAAAGATATGATGTGATAGATAGAGTTTATTCATCACATCATATTTTTATCCATCACATCAAAGAGAAAATTAGAAGTTAATTATAATTTAACACTTCCTTAATTTTATCTTTGTTCAAAATGGGGAAGAGTTTTCCCATACGGATGGACTATATAAGTTTCTTAACACTATATGTTTGGCTCAAGGATTTTGGAAGGAAAAGAAAAGAAAATGGTTTTCTTTCATTTTCCTCACTAAAATGGAAGGAATTTGATCTTCCATCCACTTAGTACATTTTGCCTCCTCATTTTCTTTTCCTTCCACTTTTTCTTTCTTTTTCGCTCCAACTAAACAAGAAAAATGATTTTCCACTTCATTTTCTTTTCTTTTCTCTTTCAAATTTCTTGAACCAAAAATAGTGTAAGTGTCAACGAAACCTTATCCTTATCAAATTATGGTTAGTTTGTTACGTGTTTTTTTTGGAAAGAACAGCCAATGATATTAAACCGAGAATTGTTGAATACAAAATGGAGCAGGCTCGGGCTTCTATTATTGAGACTTCGGTTTCACAAGCTCTTTCCCACATAGAATTGGGCCAGACTGTCCTTTTCTTGTGAGCTTTTCTAGGCCTTATAGAGATGCATGATTGGGCTATTGACAGTGGAGTTGTGTTTTTTTAAGCTATTGGATTCTGGCCCAAATCGATCACTTCTCTACAAATTTGAGTCCATTCTATTTTTCGCTAACCTTGTTCCAAAATGAACAAGCCTCGCAAGTTAACAAATAACAAGTGATTAAAAATTAAGAAAAATAATCTCATCTTTATGATCTCATACGTCTTTTGTGAACTATAATAATTTTATCTTTATTGAAATATATACATTTTGGTGGGTGTATATTTTATACTACCTTCGTCCTAGTATATTTGTCCAGTTTGATTTTTTCGAGTCAAATTGGATACTTTTTAACTCCAATTACTCACAATTTATATTGCATATTAGTATAATAAAATACAATTTAAAAAATTCTCAATATGATAAATTCAATACAGTTATTTTTAGGTTAAAATACATTATAGTTTTTATTTAATTGAAGCTCAAAATTTATCCAATTTGTCTCGAAAAAATTAAATTGGACAAAAACATTGGGATGGATAGAGCAATTTTTTATTTTAAATTTTTAACTTTTCCTAAAAATTTTATATATGTATTCACATTTTATCCAGAGGCAATATAATAATGGGTTGAGTAGTAGAGTGAAAGAATTATTATTTTCCCTTAATTTCATACAATGATTCCACCTCCCTTTATATACAAGGGGAAGGGGTTACAATAAGGAAACAGTCATGAATGAGAATCCTATACAAATAAGGAATGTACTATAATTGGTACAAGGAATATTCTTAACATGTATAATAAAATATGCTTAACATATTTAACATGCTACCGACTCCGTTGGGGATCTCCGAATCCCAAGGTTGTGTCGGAATTCCGCGAAGATGACAGAAGGTAGCCCTTTAGTAAAGATATCGGCGAACTGGGAGGAAGAGGGGACATGGAGGACTCGAACTTGCCCCAGTGCCACTTTGTCTCTTACGAAATGAATGTCAACTTCCACATGCTTGGTGCGCTGATGCTGCACTGGGTTGGAGGATAAGTAAACAGCGCTGATGTTGTCACAGAAAACAATGGTGGCCCGACGAAGGGGTTGGTGAAGTTCAAGTAGAAGATTTCAGATCCAACTGGTTTCAGCAACTGCATTTGCTACGGCTCGGTACTCGGCCTCTGCACTGGATCTGGAGGTCGTGCCTTGTCGTTTAGAGGACCATGAGACGAGGTTATCTCCGAGAAAAACACAGTAGCCAGATGTGGAACGTCGTGTGTCGGGACAACCAGCCCAGTCAGCATCGGAGTATGCCTGAAGGAAATCTGAGGAGCCACGGGATAGTGTGATTCCGTGGGTAGAGGTGCCCTGCAAATAACGTAGAACCCGTTTTAACGCAGTAAGATGAGGCGTCCGAGGAGCATGGAGGTAGAGACATAGCTGCTGAACCGCATATGTGAGATCGGGTCGAGTGAAAGTGAGATACTGAAGAGCACCAACAAGAGATCGATAGAGAGATGGGTCTGGAACTGGGTCACCATCTGTGGCGGACAGTTTCCCTTTGGTGTCTACAGGTGTGGAGATGGGCTTACTGTGAATCATGCCTGCTCTGTCCAGAATTTCGTGGGCAAACTGAGTCTGGTGCAGGAATAGTCCCTGTTTGGTGCGTTGAACATTGATGCCGAGGAAAAAATTAAGTTCCCCCATATCTGTCATGACAAATTCACCTTTTAAGCGCTCTGTGATCTGTGATAGTAGCACCGTCGTCGAGGCAGTGAGCACAATGTCATCAACATAGAGGAGCAAGTATGCCATGTGTGTGCCACGTGTGTAGACAAAAAGTGAAGTATCAGTCTTGCAGCCTTGAAACCCGATGTGACATGAGAAACCAGCAAACCGTTGATACCAAGAACGAGGTGCCTGTTTTAAGCCATACAGGGCCTTCTTTAATCTGCAAACATAATGTGGGCGTGATGGATCCTCGAACCCAGAAGGCTGACTGGCATAGACAGTTTCCTGAAGGTGACCATGGAGGAAAGCATTCTTGACATCCAGCTGGTGTATGGGCCATCCCCGAGCGAGGGCCAAACTGAGGACAATCCGGATGGTGGCCGGTTTAATGACCGGACTAAACGTGTCACTGTAGTCAATGCCGAAGCGCTGGTTGAACCCTCGGACTACCCAACGCGCTTTGTACCTGGACAGATCACCTGTGGGGCCAAATTTGTGTCTAAAAAGCCATTTGCCAGTGATAACATTTTGAGTGGGGGAGGGGGGGTACTAATTCCCATGTATTATTCTTTATTAAAGCATTAAATTCATCACACATTGCATCATGCCAGTTAGGATCTTTTTCACGTCATGCCATCCACCCCCCTTCACCACTCTATACTCGACATCACAACTCCAAATCCTAACAAAACCCCGTCACCTACGGTCTAAACCGCGCCCACCAGTAACCCACGCATAAACACCTCCATCCCCCGAGCCCAACCCGAACGCATACCCCGACACTCCACCCGACCCGGCACCTTTCCCACACCCCCCGACCAAGGGCCTCGGGCTGGGATTGGGTCGTGAGAGGGGGGTTGGGCCTAGAGATGGAAGGGAGGGGGAATTTAGATGACAGAGAAATCCACATTAGATGTTGAATTTAGGATATTGCTTCTAATTGTTGGGCATGGCCAACTCATCTCTATTTGTGCATAAAGCATTGTATTATACATAGAACAACTTGTTTTCTCTGAACATTTTTTAAGAAAACATAATCGTTAGCTAGAGCATCTCCAACCGAGGTGTTAAAAATGAGAAGCTATATGCTATTTTTAGACCATGTACAATACTTTAGAGATTAAATTTTTAAAGTGAACTCCAATCACATCTCATATTTCTTTACCTTTTTTATCGGATCAAGCGTATTTTTTTCATATTAAACCTTCACTTTGGAGAAACCAAAGCCATCTCAAGCCTCTTTTTCTCGCAATCTCTTTGATTACCCATTCACATAGGATAAAAGTAGACGTCGATCTCCCATCTTTTTTCCGGTGATCTTGCTGTGCTTCAAATCATGCTAGGTCAAGATCATCAAGAACAGATCTATCCTATTGAAGTCTAGATTTGCTAAGGCCGTCGGCAAGTTTCCGATCAGCTCGTTACGGGAGAGGTAGAAATCCGACGTAGAAGGCCGCCGGCAAATTTCCAAAACTCAAGTGACTCTTTCCAGTGGTCCAAGTGGATTTTAGCAAACCTACAGTACCGTCTATTTATGGAGGCTCTAAAACTTAAAATAGATCGTGGTCTAAATTTTGGAAGCTCCGTTGGAGCACCAAAAAGGGTACATGCAGTAGCAGGTATAACCTCTATTCTTTAGACTTTGGTTGATGCGTTGGAGATGGCCTTAGACATTATTTTCTACATGTTATTTATTTGGAAACAAATAGCCTTAGAATAGAACAACTTGAGAGTAGAATCTTTGCAATAACTTAGAGCTAATAGAATTTATTTTTGCTGACTCCAAATGTCCCGGACGCCTTTGGGCAATGTCTCCGGAGCCAACTATAATTCCTAAAACCTCCAACTCTACTTTGTGCTCTTCGGCGGTAGTAGTGTGCCTTCGTCTCCCGTTTGTTTTGTTATGACTATTAACAAAATTCAAAGTCAAACATTGTTTTTTGTTGTACTCCGTATTATTTTTCCCAATTCAGTATTTACTCATAATCAACTTTATGTTATTCCTTCACGAGTAAAGGCAAAGACATATTATATATATTGATTCTAGATGACAATAGAAACCCTTACAACCATACCAAAAATGTTATGTACCCTAAAGTCTTTTAAAAAATTTGGAATTAAAAGAAATTCAAGTACACTTTTAATTCCTCAAATATAAATTATTCTATTTTTTCGTTTAATTCCTCAAATATAAATTATTCTATTTTTTCGTTGTTGTTCATTAATTAAAAATCGTGTTAAAAATATATTTACTTGAATCAAGAAAATATATTACGTTGAAAAAAATTTAGAATTGGAAAAAATTATGTTCGATCTCGTGCATGGCACGGGTTAAAATACTAGTAAAAGAAAGAGGGGACATTTGTACCAATTTCCAAAGTCATAGAGGATAGTAGAGTTATTCACATAATATTTAAAGAATATTTTGTTCTAAAGAAACATTAACATAGCTATATCAGAATAATAAAGAATAATAAGTGGCAACAGTGTAAATTTTAAAACTATATACGGTACCGGTATACATTTACGGATTTACCCAATCTCAAAAATTATGGTGCAATAAATTCTATGTTAGTAATTGGGTATGACAAAATGTTTGGGCCGCAGAGGCTAGAATGAGGACATTTCACGAGCCCATAGTGCGTTCACCAGTTACGACATTCTTCTTCTTTTTCTTTCTGCAAATCTAATTCATGGTGCTTCTCACTTCTCAGCCAGCCATGAAAAATTCCTGATAGAATCCCGGAAAACATGGAAGAAGACCTCCGAATCTCCATCGACAAGCTTCCAATCAACCGCATTGAATTCGTCGACGAAAACGGTGTCGAACGGTTTCCTTCGTACGTTCTTCTCCGTTTAATTTCCGCTGTCCGTGCAGCTTTGGAAACATGTGAAGCTGAAATTATTCTTTTTTTGTGTGTTTTTGAAGTGATGTAGGGTACGATGATAAGACGGTGAACTTAATAAGGAGAATTGACTTCGGGTGGGCGGTGGAGAGGGAGGATCCCAGTAAGAAGCAGAAGAAGATTGCCGTCTCGAGTTCTTCGTCGAAGGAGACATGCGGAAATCAACCATGGCAGTGGCAGAGCTTAGTGGAGAATCTGCAGCTGGCTCACCAGGAACTCTCCATCATTATTGATCTCATCAATAATGTAATTTACTAATTTATATTCCCCTCTTCCTGATGTTATTAAGTTTACTGTGTGCTCCAAGGTTTCTGGTCAATTTATAATTCATTAAGAACAAGCTAAGAGGCACAGAAATGGGGCCGGGGTCAAGTTTATTTTGGATTTTTGGGATATGGCAAACCTTAAAAGCCCAAAATGCCGTGCCGGAAGGAGACATCAGGAAATATAATGTTCATAAAATAACTTGAATAAGTAGGTTGAGAACTACTAATAAATTAACATTGAAGCAAAAGCTTATGCATACTTTCAGTTGTTACCGGGGGGATATTTCTTTTGCAAAGTTTTAATGGATGACTCGTGCATTGTACACGGTTTGTCAATCTTTAATCCTTTTGTAGCAATTTCAATCCATTCCTCGATCGTCTTCCCCACCATCTTTGTGCAGTGCATTATTATTTGTTTGAAACTTTGAATCTCCTTTATGTGGAATGTTTAAATGGAACTATTTTGCCAGTTCAAACCGTCAATATCTACTATAACCACTATCTATTTTTCCATGAAATGTTTAAAAACAGAGAATTAGTGTCTATTCCAAAGGAAAAGAGAAGAGTAGAGTAAACCTCGAAGAGAAAAGTTCCAAACAAATTTCATCCTTCTCTTTTTATCATTATCCACTAGCTTTTGCTCTTGTTCTTAGCCATGTAATGGGGATGAACAACACTTTTAGGATGGCGTGTTCATTATAGTTTCTATGCTATTTCCAGGTGCCATCTTTTAAAAAATTGGTCTAGTGCTTTTTGTTTGTATCTGGATGTGCAAATTTTATTTGATCGTTGTTCCTCACTTTTTTTTTTCTTTTTCCAAGGATAAATAAACACTGAAGAGAGCATGACTTCCTTGTATATGCTCCATATAGGTGGAAGCAAATGATGCTGTAACAGTGGCTGGTATGACCAGGCCAAAGCAATTGCCAAATGAGCTTCTATCTGACCTTGCCGTGTCTATGGCTACCAAGCTACAAAATTTTCGGGTATCTTTCTAAATCATACCGGTGCCTTGATGTTCTTGCTGCTATGCTAAGCCATTTATATCTTGCTAATATGAATTTTTAATCTGTTTGGATGTATTTTAAATTAAGAAATCCAAGCATTTTCAATTTTGATACTAACAATTCTCAAGCTCTTCAAAATTTCAGCACTTGGGGAAGTATTTTAAGAAATCTGCAAAAGCATTGGAGAAACAAGTAGCCAGGGAAGCACGATTCTATGGTGCTTTGATTAGGTGAGTTTTTATCTATTTTGGATGGTGATGCAAGATGATATTTTCAGAGTTTCTGAAAAAATGTCTCCATGCATCAAGAAAATATTCAGTTTAGAATCATAATAATAATAATAGATAATATTATAATAATAGTAATAATCTTCAGTTTCTTTTTTATCAAAGCAATGTATATTTTTTTGTGATGAAATGATAGATTGCAGCAGAATTGGAAAATCAAGTGGCATAGGATGGTTGCTGCCTCATCTGGAAATGAAGGATTTTACATCGACTTAATTGACAATACATTACATGATCCAGCACTTGTATTTCGCCCTTCTTCTGCTTCTGCAGTTCGTGTTGAGCATGACTTGACTGGAACGCTAGCTGTGAATTTGCCACCTAATTCATGTAAAACACTCCAATTTGAGTTTCATGGTGCACATTCAACTGGTATTTCCAGGCAATTGGCCAAGCCAGAAGTGAAGGGCACAATTATGGATTCTTCTAGTGAATCTAAGAAAGAAAAAAGTGATGATGAGCATGTCAAAGAAACACATTGCGTTCTACGTGAACTCCACAGGGCTATATTTGATGAACAGGTATTCTTTTGCATCGTTACTGCATCAAAAAACATTCATTTCAATGCAAAAACTGATCTTTGAAAACCCATATATCGATATGACGATGCATCCTAGTATACTCCCTCTGTCCAAAACATCAAGTTTCAAAACTCTGAGGTTTTTTTCAAGGGATTCACCATTAGTGTGGTATTAAAAAAACTCACAAAGTTTTTTTGGTTGAATAAAAAAAGTTAATTGTGGTACATTTTGTTAAAAAGCAAAAAGATTTTACACAATAAAAATTTGTCCCTTTCCAAAATAAAAGAGTTCTTGAAGATGACTCCTTTTTGCTATGGAGAGAGTACATGCCTTTGTGGCTAGTAATACTTTCTTTACCATTTTCCATTTTCATGTGTTTTCAGGTATTTGATCTTGTGAATCGTGAAGCATTCAACCCATCTTTTAGAATCAACATGACAGGAGTTCAAGAGAATTTTTTGCGTTTAAGCATTGGTCAAGGAGCATCTGTCTCTCTTTCACTTGTGCCACATGATGGAGGTGATAAAAAAACCAGTGGTGAAGGTGATGAAGCATTGGGTGCTGTGGTCATGCCTATGGAATCTTTTGATGGGTCAAAATTAGATGATGGAAAAGTGAACTTGAAGAAGTTGGGATCTGTAAATCAAACCAGTTTTGAAATATATTTACAACAAATTTTCCATGAACATGTGTTTGTTAAAGCCAAAAGCAGATCATCAAGTTCTATCAACTCTCGAGTATCTGTTGCACCTACAAAGAGCAGTTCAAATCTCCTGGGTCATTTCTGTCGGTCTCTGGCTCACAGGATGTTCTCAAACAAAGTTCTTGCAGAGCTGGAAACTCTGGCATGTTCTAATTAATTGATTCATCAGGGTTATGAAAATTGCAGGGAAGGAAAAAAGAAAGCTGAAGGAAATAGTTTTTGCTGTTTGGTTTTACCTTCAGAAATCCAATGGAAAATCAAATCTGATTCTAACTTTTGACAATTATGTGTATGTGTGTGTGTACACACACTCACACGTCTTTGTCTTTTTCAATTGGATTATATAACCTAAATGAGTTTGAAGTTCCAAACATATATAAACAATTGAGTTTGAGTGCCTTTTGCCAAATTTTCTTTCCTTTCAAATTTCTTTCTATTTTCTTCTACTCTTTCCCACTAGAATTTTTCATGGTCCAAACAACCCCTTAAGTCTGCTCAATTTCAGCATCAACTTACAATTAATTTCTGCATTTTTGGTTGAAGGTTAGCAAAATGCCTTATGTGGAATTGATTTCTCACCTCACTTGGCACTCTCGAAAGTCTGCATGGACGCTCTTGATGAAGGTGCCTCAGTCAATTCTCAACTCGGGCAGTGGAGTCAACTCATCATACCTGGACAAGAGTGTTAAATCTCAGTTCCGCACTAAGGTTTCAGTGTATGATGGTTGCATAAGCGTGGAAGGTGAAGGTGCCCCAAATGTTGTGGGTCTATTCAAAGAGAAGTCTTATGATATGTGCTCTTTGAACAGATATGACTGTGATTTAGCAGGTCTTCCTGCCGTTCTGCTGCAGCAGGTGTGTATTCTTGTTTCACATTTTCTTCCAATTGTCTTTTCATGATAAAGACATAAAGTGAATGTGTGGTTTATGGAGAGAGAAAAATACTTTGTCCCCGTCGAAAATTTCCACTTTGACCTGCACTGCACGGCTGTTAATGTATCAATTGTTTTGTTTTAAACTTCCACGCTTGTCCTTGTGATTATAAATGAGTATAAACTTCCAAGGTTGTTAAAAAAAATGCAGATATATTTTGAACTTTGGTAGGTTTTACAGATGATCTATTCTCATCTAGGCTGCCCTTTAGAAACACACATGTTTCAGAATCAAATATGCCGCTGAACTTTTTTTGGTAGGTAGCGAGCCAAGTCATACGGTGGCTTCATGAGGAAGCTCTTATGGTGGGTATAAAGGCCAATAGGGACTTTTTGTCGCTGTGGTTTGAGCTGGAAGAAGGTGAGACCGTTGGTCTTGTGGCACACATTGACCCCACAGATCCCATCGGGTGCATATCTTGGTGGTTGGTGATGGAGGATGGTTATTCTGAAGAACACAAGGTTCAAGTCGAGGTTAGTAATGGTGAATCCGAAAGAAGGAAGTTCTTAGGTTATTTGTCTTTAGGCGTACTGTACTCCACGCTGCTGGACTTGGTTAGCCTGAGCAGTGGCTCAGTGACCAATTGAATTCTTCTTCCCGGAAGAAATGGTTGCACTATTTATTTAGAGAAAAGATATTTCAATGAAATTCTAGTTTGCCCTTCTCATATGAAATGCTACTTTAACCCTGTAAATGACACCAAGCATGACACTATCATAGACAATCACACCCAAATAGTCATTTGTAAAACACTCATTGTTTATGAGACTCTAGCAATGTCAACATTGGTGTTATATGTGACTTGAATGTTGTTGCTACTGTGAGCGGAAGTTCTCAACGTGGGTCCTCGCCGATTACACGTTGACAAACACACACTTTTCAATGTGATCATGACCTATTTTGATGTTTGGACTGTACCATTTTCTCCGAGCATTACTTATTTCATCCTTTCTTTGAGTAGATCGAATGAATCTAATTTTGGTTATAATGATGGGGCAAAGTTTTTTTGTACACGAATTGGGTTAACAAAACTCCTTGCCAACCCATTGCCTCTTTGGAATTGTTGAAATATTACGGTGCCATTGTGGTATTTCAACGATTCGAGGGGATAACACCCGTAACCCCCCCTGAATCTCAATGGGCATAATGCCTTAGTTTCATAATATGACTTTCAAAATAGGTGTTAAAAAAATGATTGTGTAGATTAAGTGATAAACGTATGAAATCACCCTATTGCAAAAAAAAAATCAAACCACAATATTCTTGCCATCATAATTGCATTTAATACCATCGAATCAAATTTAAAAAATCACCTTAAATATGAGTAAAACATAAAGAAAATATCAAAATAAGAGTTTTATGATTTATTCCTTAAATAAGGTCCTAATATTCTTTTTAAAGAAAGGAAGCCCTGTATTCTCGAGGAACACTCCAAGCCTCACTTGGCCACTTGCTATGCTACCATTACTAACATTATGTTCTTTTTCATTTCTTTTAACTCTTTTTTAGTTTTTTTCAAGAACGATTTAAAAAGATATTTATATATGATTAACATACAATAAAATTATGTATCCAAATTTATAACATATCACCTCAAACAAAGAGAATGATGGATTCTGTTTTATCCAAAATTAAAGTTTCATTGCATTTTTATCTGAGTGATTATTTTTAATTGAGTGCCTTTTTAACATTTAAATTCTTCCAACATTTTTCAGCTCTTATTAATTTTTTTTCTAACTCTTTCTATTTTCTTCCAACTTTTTTCCATGTTTCTTGCAACATTCAATTTTGAAATTTCAATCCAAAACAATAGCCTAAGTGAAGACCACCGCGAAAATGACATTCTAGAAACGGAGAGACTCAGTGATAGTGAGACAGAGGGTGATTCTTATTTCAGATTTTACGCATTTATGATTCGGTTATTCTCCTGGTGTGATTTTTTATTTACTCGATTTATTCTTCTCATTATGAACCATTTTGTGCTTTAAATGTATTTTTACTGAGTTTTTTGCGTTATTACACTTAAACTCTTTAGAAATTGTGTAAATTCTTCTGAATTTTGAAAATTGCAACAATTGTCATTGAATATTTCTAAACATTGTACCAACGGTCCCCTACACCCTAATTTAGGAGTGTATTAATCAGAGACACATCTAATAAGATCATACCTAATCAAATCATATTAAATCCAATCCAAGTTTTAGAAAATCAAATCAAATCAAATTAGATCAGACAAATGGAGTGGAGCCTCAGCCCAATTTAATTTTAGAAAATTACTTCGGTGTTCCTTTGGTTTTATAGTAAAAGCTTTCAAGTCTTTTATTATCCAAAATATGTTCTAGGATCTTGAAAATTTGTGATGTTATATTCCAACGGTACATTGCGTGCCTATAGGTATTAGGATTGAAAATTTCATTATTTTGACAAATTGAAATTTTTTATTTAAAACTAAAAATAATTTTCAAGATAAAATTTTAAATTTGTCAATATATTATAAATTTTAATCACAACGATTAAATAGACAAAATGAATTTTGAAGTGTATTACCAGTTTACCACTAATTTTAAGGGTTACCGAAATGGTTGTACTATTTGTTTAGAGAAAAGATATGTCAGGCCCCGTTTGGTACATGTAATTCAAATTATGGAATTGGAATTCTGGTGTTTGGTAGCACAAAAATTATATGGATTTGGAATTGATAGTGCAAAAAATGAATTGGAATTGGCAGAATTCAATTCTATGGAATTGAATCCCATGGAATTTAAATTCCAATTCTATTCCAATTCCGTCAATTCCGTATACCAAACAGACCCTCAATGAAATTCTAGTTTACCCTTCTCATATGAAATGCTACTTTAACCCTATAAATGACACCAAAAATGACACTATCATAGACAATCACACCCAAATAGTCATTTGTAAAACACTCATTGTTTATGAGATGCTAGCAGTGTCAACATTGCTGTTGTATGTGACTTGAATGTTGTTGCTATTGTGGGCGCGACGTGGGTCCTAGCCGATTACATGTTGACAAACACACACTTTTCAATCTGATCATGGCCTATTTTGATGTTTGGACTGTACCATTTTCTCCGAGCATTACTTATTTCATCCTTGTTAATTTCTTGTCTGATACTAGGGACCGGAGTTCCTTTCTTTGAGTAGATCGAATGAATCTAATTTTGGTTATAATGATGGGGCAATGTTTTTTGTACACGAATTGGGTTAACAAAACTCCTTGCCAACCCATTGCCTCTTTGGAATTGTTGAAATATTACGGTGCCATTGTGGTATTTCAACGATTCGAGGGGATAACACCCGTAACACATA